GGATTATTGCAAAGCGAAATTTCATATATAGTTTTGAAAAAAAGTAACAGATATTTTGTCCATTTGTTTTAATTTTTTTAACTAAAATTTTGCCTTGCAATAATCCGACAGTTTGAATCATTGACCTGATGATTTGTCTGGGTCAATGATTGGTTCAAGTCAAATAACTATGATTGTATCTCACAAATTGTTATATGCGTGTCAGAATCAAGGTTAAAATCATTCAGTTACCAAAGTGGCCAAGCTTCCATTATCCACAAAGTGGTTACAGGTTCGGATCTTGCCATTGCAAATGTTATTTAAAAATTTTGCTTTGACCAATTTGATAGATGCAGGTTCTAAAATTAAATTATCCACAATAAAGGATGGCATCAGTTGGCTGCCATTGTGGCCAAGCCTCTTTGCCGGGTTCGGAATTCACCGTTGTGTATGTGATATAAAACTTTTGCTTTGGATTGAACCGGTTCGATTTTCTACGAACCCATCCGATTCTGGTGATTATAAAGTTGTTCCGCAGGTTCGTGATTGGTTCTTTTGTCTATGAACCAATTAATACAAATTGGACCGGACCACCATCAGATTAACTGGCTGGATCGATCTATCTGAACCAATTTTAATAACTATGATTACAATGATATCTAGTCAACAAATTGCACATTTTAATAGGTCACAACTCACCACCATCAACATTACATGCACCTCAAATCCATTTCCACATCTACCACCACCACCTGCTCGAATACACAACCACAAGCATCACATCACCTCCCTTTCAAATCTACTAGTCGGCAGACCATCGTCAAATATGATGCCAATCTTGAGGACTATAGCTGTCTGTGAAGGCAGGGAAACGGAGTTCCAATACGCAAAATGGACTCGTTTGCGACAATTGGATGCGTGCTCAGTTGCTCGTCAATTGGGGTGTAGACATGATGTAGCCTGAGTTACAGAGAGAAATAGTGGAGGGAGTAGGTATAGAAATTGTAATATAATCAGATTTTAATATATATTACATATTCAACATTAAATAATACAATTATAATCGGCCTTATGAAATAATAAATTTAAATCCTGATTATTGAAATTAAAAGCTAAAAACATGTATGGCATAATAAACTTAACACCTGATTATTGAAATTAAAAGCTAAAAACATGTGTGGGTGTAATTTGCACTGTGATAACAACCTGAATATTTTACTCTTCCATCCCTATATTTTTCCCCTAATTTGCAATCAACTACCAGAAATTTCATTTTCCACATAACTGTTCCTTCCCATTTCTTTTCCTCTCCTTTCGACTTTTATGCCTCATAGTTTCTGTAAACTGGTCCTATACTTTCCACCCTGTAAAAATGGCTACTGCAAATTCAATACCTCTAGAACTCCGGCCTCTCGGTAACACGGGTCTGAAGCTCAGCTGTGTGGGATTCGGCGCCTCCCCGCTAGGCAACGTCTTCGGGCCTGTCTCCGAATCTGACGCCATTGCCACCGTCCGCCAAGCATTCCGCCTCGGAATCAACTTCTTCGACACCTCCCCGTAACAAATTTTCTCTCCCTTTTGTTTTTCTACTATTTTTCGACTGTCCGTTTTGCTGAATTGAGTCGGGGCATCTTAAGCTTGGGCTATGTGCCCATTTATTTCTAATTGTCAATATCCATTGGTGAATTACCCGGTTTTCCTTTTATAGGTGGGAGCAATCTACAAGTGATCTTGAAAGGGGACTTATCACTTTGCCATTGTTTTATTTTCTATTTTAAGTTAATTCATATTGGCTTTTTAAAATTCTGGGTCTCTTGATTTCTGATCTTGGTTGCTGATTATGTGACTGCTTATGGAATGGTTGAATGCTTTTAAGTGTTTTTGAGTTTTGGGCTCTTGATTTTTGTTTTGTGGGTTGGATTTAGGTACTATGGAGGAACACTATCGGAAAAAGTACTAGGAATTACATTGAAAGCTTTGGAAGTGCCTAGGAATGAGTACATTGTGGCTACAAAGTGTGGAAGGTACATAGATGGTTTTGATTTCAGTGCTGAGAGGGTGACAAGGAGCATTGATGAGAGCTTGGAAAGGTTGCAGCTTGATTATGTCGATATCTTGCAATGTCATGATATAGAATTCGGTTCACTTGATCAGGTCCTATTGCAATCTCCACTCAATTTCAGTTTTCATTCTAAAAGAACTCAGTATCTTTAACTGATATTCACATTCGATTTCAAAAGTTACGTTGCGATCTTGGTCATCCTTGCGGTGGATAACAATCCTTTTCTCCCTTTATTTTTGGCTGGAAAAAATGCTGTATTATACTTAAATTTTGGGCTCTCATCGGATAAGTGAGAAAATTTATGCTACTTTGTTTGGAGTTCTCATCTTGGCAATACATGCCATCTTGTATAGATTTTTTTTATTTTTATTTTTAAAATTTTTTTTTTTAAACATAACACTAAATAGACTTCCTTGATTACCACTTAGTCTTTCAAATGAAACCTCATTGAGTCTGCTTTACGTGGTGGTTTAGCTTCCCCCAGGCACATATGTAAATAACTCTTATTGCTTGGCTCCCTAGAAATCCATCTTGATATTTTCTGTGTTAGGATTATGATCAGAAATCAAATTCAATGTTCTTAAGACCATTTTATTCTTGAATCCCAGTTCCATTTTGTTTTAATTAAAGACTCTTTCAAGTAATGTGTCATTTGATTCCTTTTTTTATTTTTTTGGTCGTTAAGAAACTTAATGCTCTACTGATGGTAAATTGAGTGGTTTTGTCTGGTTCAGATTGTGAATGAGACGATTCCTGCACTTCTTAAACTGAAGGAAGCAGGGAAGATTAGATTCATTGGTATAACTGGGCTTCCATTGGAAATTTTCACTTATGTTCTGGATAGGGTGCCACCACGAACGGTTGATGTAGTCCTGTCATATTGTCACTACGGTGTCAACGATTCAACTTTGGAGAACCTATTGCCTTACCTGAAGAGCAAGGGTGTTGGTGTAATAAGTGCTTCCCCACTAGCAATGGGCCTTCTTACAGAAAATGGCCCTCCGGAGTGGCACCCTGCTTCCCCAGAGCTCAAGGTGTTTGTGTGTTCTACTGGAATATAATTCTCACACATTTGGCTTAGTAAATTTCACTGCTAGATGGCTGCATTACAGACCATGTTTGGCTAAGCTTAAAAATTAGTAAAAGTTACTTGTATACTTGTAAAGGTGTTTGGATTAGCAACTCTTAAATTGCTGGCAAAATAAAGTGACCTACTATTAAAACTACATTACATATAAATGTAAACTTTTTAAGCTAAGTTAATCATGTCCTAATGTTGTTTTTTTCTCTCAACATTTTTTGTGTTAAGGGATTCAGGCCCAATGGTAGCTTTGCTTGTCCTGTGTAGTATTTAATTGTAAAGAGAAGAACAGTTCACTTTATATTTGTTTATGTACCTGCATCTATGCACGGCTTCTATTTTGCAATCACGTGATGAATAAACGTTTTTAAATATATTTTGCCCAAATAGCCTTCTGTTTAACAATTTTTATAAGTTCTTTAGTTACCTGTCCCAGATCTGTAATCTGTAGAGTGGACTATATATATGTAGAATAACTTAATGCTTCCTACTTCCCCTTGGAATGTTTTTCATCAGGCTGCTTGCAAAGCTGCTGCTGCTCATTGCAAAGAGAAGGGAAGAAACATATCGAAGTTAGCCATGCAATATAGCTTATTGAATAAAGACATCTCTACAATTTTGGTTGGGATGAACTCTATCCAACAGGTCAATGTTTTTCCATTTCCATCGATCTCCAAATGTCTCTGATATACCGTATTTCATTTTTACCATGTTTAGCGATAGAAAATAGTAAACCAAATAGCTTTCCGGACTCCTTTTATTTGTAGTAATTAGGAAATAATAAAAAAACACTTCTATCATTTGGAGATGAGAAGAATTCTATACAAGAATGAGTTTCACAATTCAAGAAAGAATCTTATCGATAAAAAACAGATTTGAAGATCCAAATTGATCATCCTGCACTTTCCTTTCGCTCATTTTCCATATGAAGCCAATTTGACTTTGATTTTGTAGGAGTGTGATTAGTTGCTTGTTGCAATTTTATCATATTAGAAGTGCCCCCTCGGATTTTAAATGATATCATTTGGTATTGTAAGATATGGTAACTTGGAGCAGGCAGGCTCACATTCAAGTTGTGCGAGGTTGAGAACAAGAAATCAGTAGCAGTTTTCACTATTTTATCTTTTTAATCTTCAACTAGGTGGCCTGAAATTTATGTTATTGATCATCAATTATGATCAATAGAGTTTTAAGTGATTAACCTATCCAATGGCATTGTAGTCCTTTTAAAGCAAATTATCCATAGCTGCTATTGTCTTCCTTTTCACGTTCCATGAAATTAGGCACGCTCATATTTGATTATAGGTAGCCGTCTTCTTCAATTGCTGTTCAACATTTCTTGAATGTTTATTGAAATTGATCAAATTTTGGCTAACCCTTTTTGAGAGCCAGGTCAATGAAAATGTAGCTGCTGCAGTAGAACTTGCTACTATTGGAAAAGACGAGAAAACTCTATCAGAGATTGATGATATTTTAAAACCAGTGAAGAATGAGACTTGGCCTAGTGGCATTCAGCAAAGTTGACAATGTTATACATTTAGTGCATGTTTGTCTACGGAGGATTGTATAGCACGAAGTTAAATTCTTGTTCGTGATGCTCTCCAGTACTATCCTGATGCCCGCATTGTGCACCAAACATGCACGTTTAATATACTGCTGAAAGCGTGTATTGTTGTGTGCTTCTTTTTTATTCCTCCAGGCTTCTGATGTCTGTATGGTTCTATTTGTTCTTGTACTCTGTGTAATAAATTTGCATATACATTAAAACATGTTTTTCCTGTAATAAAGTCTAAATTTTTGTTTCTATTTGAGTGAATGTACGTGCCTGAAACATGTTTTCCCTGTAATATATCTGTTAGGTTTTAAAGTTGGCAATCTGTGAACGAATACATAGTTGTATAAACGTTTTGAAACGTCAAAGGGTCAAGTTGTAATTTACTTAGACGGGTTAGAAGTCATTGGAGTCGGGTTTGGAACATTGGAAAAGTTGTCGGATTTTTGCTGGATTGTCGCCAAGCCGTTGCTCGAGCGTCAGAAATAGTAAACACGTCGCTCGCCTATCACCTACACTTCACTCGAGCGAAACCGTTTCTCTCGCTTATCGCTGAGATCTCGCTCGAGCGACAGACCGAACTAAAAATCCCTAGTTCACGACTTTCGAGATTTTGGAGAGGCCCATACTACCCAAAACACCCACATATATAAACCATAATGCCTCCACATGAAAATTCTATGGGATTGAACATTGTGAAACTTCATACTCATCCACTACCTTCTTTCAATCCTACTTTGCTTGAGTGTTGCTATTGAAGAAAACATCAAACACATATAAATCAACCACCAAAAATAAAACTTCCAAACATCTATCAAATGGTTGAAGATCGAGGAAGGTGATCGGAGTTTCGATCGGGGGAAAACGAGGAGTTCTCGGGAATCCGTAGGAGATAAACGAACTCAAGAAGTCGAGAGTTGGTGCGAGAGCACGCATTCCAGGAGGGCTTTGGAAAATTGCAGTCAGGAGGTCAGAAAGCTCTAGTGTTGGTAGAGTCTAGCAGTACTGTAAGTTTAATCGTTTATAATGGATTCATACTGACTTGGGCCCGGAGTTTTTAATCCCGTAAGGGGTTTTCTCCGTCAACAAATCTCTCTTGTTATTTACTTTCTACAATTTATTATATTGTGGCAATTAACTGTATGATAGTGTGCTTGTGGTTGTTCTGGATGATTTAATAAGTGTGACTTGTTGCATTTATTAATTAACTAGTTTAAATTCCGCATAATCACTTATTCACCTTCCCTCTAGGTGTAATTTGGGTCAAACAATATTGTTTTCAAGTGGCATCAGAGCAAAATTTCGATTCCTGACCCATACTTGATCTAGATGAGCCAATCACTGTCTGTGCCTTCGTATTTTGACGGAAGCAACTATGCATACTGGAAAGTAAGAATGAGAGCATTCCTTAAGTCACTAGATGAGCGTATTTGGATGTGTACAAAATGGTTGGTCTGCCCCTTCCACCACTGTGTCAGGAGTAGTTATCCCTACGGACATTTCACTTTGGACTAAGGATGAATTAGTTGAATTTAAATGGAATAGCAAAGGACTTCATGCACTATTTATGGCTGTGTCTCCCGAAGAGTTTAGGAGAGTGTCTATGTGTGAAACTACTAAAGAGGTATGGGACTTATTAGAGACCACGCACGAGGGAACCAAAACTGTTAAAAACTCCAAACTGCAGATGTTGGCCTCTTGGTTTGGAGAAATTAGAATGAAGGAAGATGAATGGTTTGATGAATTCTACGCCAAGTTGAAAGACATAATTAACTCTAGTTTTAACCTAGGTGAAAAAATTCTAGAAACCAAAATTGTTCGAAAAGTTCTTAGATCCCTACTTGAAAGATTTAGACCCAAGGTTACTGTAATTGAAGAGAGTAAAGATTTAGATAAAGTTAAGATAGAAGAACTGGTAGAATCTCTTCAAACCTATGAACTCACCATATCACAACCAAAGAAAAGCAAGTCCATAGCATTAAACACTATTAAGGAAAATGAGTCTGAATCTACTGATGCTGAGACACTAAGGGATGACGAGATAGCTTACTTTGTTGAGAAATTTCAAAAAGTCCTTAGGAACAAGAAAAAATATCCAGAATGGAAGAAGGGTGTCCCTAGCAAATTCAGAAAGACAAGAGTGATAAGCCTAGTGCTAGAGGCCCTAGTAAGAAATCTCAACCAATTAGATGTCATGAATGTAAGGGATTTGGTCACTATAAAAATGAGTGTCCTCATTATAGGAAGAACTTGAATAAAGGAAGGGGTAAGGCTTTGGTAGTGTCACTAACAGATGATGAATTCAATTCTAGTGAGCAAAGTGATTCCTCCAGCAGTGAAAATGAAAGGAACTACATGGCTTTCGTGTCTAGAGTTAAGAGTGAATCAGATAAGGAAAGTGAGAAAGCTGAGGAAGAGAAACATAGTGAAAACTCTGAGGAAGAATCTGAAGATGAGATTGATATTCATGAGACCTATCAATTACTATTTAAGGAGAGCCTCAAGATTAAGAGAGTCAATAAAGCCATGCTGAAGAAGGTAGATGAACTTGAAAGAAAGAAAGAGAGACTCGCGGGTGATCTTCAGGACTCTTCCAAAAATCTTAGTGAGTTGAGGTGTGTCAATGAGAAATTAGAAGTTAAGGTTAGGACTTTAACAAGTGATCTTGAGAAATCCAATACTCAACTCCAGTCTTTCTTAAGTGGGACTAAGAAACTTGATAACCTGTTAGGGATGAATAAACTAGCTGGAAATAGGCAAGGCCTAGGATATATTAAACATGATAACAATGCTGCTAGTTCTTCCAAGACTACTTTCGTCTTGGCCTCCAACATATCTAGTAACATTACCAATCTTGAACCTGAGAATAAAAGTGTTTTAGGACAGAGGACTTCTAGAATACATAGGACCACCACGCCTAAAAATCGATTTCAACAATCATGTGGTTTTGAACTAAGGTTTATTCCTACTTGTCATAACTGTGGTGTTTTAGGACACACGAGGCCTAGGTGTCATAAGCTTATGAATATCGGTAGAAGTAAGGATATTCATAGCCAAGTAAACTTCCTTTCCAATCTGGTTAGTCACTTAATTGAGATGATGACAAAATTGACTATGATTACCTCAACTTCAAGGAAGGTCTAGGTTAATAAAAGTGATATGTCTAGGTTTGATGAGAAACTGAACTGCTATGTTGCCCATGTTGTATTTAAAGCTCAAAACACAACTATGTGGTACCTTGATAGTGCTTGTTCTAGACATATGTGTGGTAATAAGGCATTGTTCTCCACTCTTAATGATTGTAATGGCGGTATGGTTACCTTTGGAGATGGGGTTACTGCTCCTATTCTGGGTAAATGTATCGTCAACATTTCTGGACTACCTGCTATATCTAATGTATTTTACGTGGAAGGATTAAAATCTAACTTGTTGAGCATTAGCCAAATATGTGACGCTGATTATAAGGTTAGTCTTGTCCAGAAAAGGTGTACCATTTATGACCCTTTAGGTGACATTGTTCTCGAACGAGTTAGAACTTCTGGCAATTGCTATGGGGTTATCCCGAATTCCAATTATGTGTGTAGCAGTGCTAAGATTGATGTGACAAATCTTTGGCATCAAAGGCTTGACCATATGAACTACAAGAGTCTGTCAAAATTGGCCAAAAAGGAACTCGTTGATAATTTACCTAAACTCGAACAAATTGATAATACCGTATGTGGACCATGTCAACAAGGTAAACAACTCAGGGTGAATCATAAACGAACTTCTAAAATTTTAACAAACAGGCCCTTGGAACTACTCCATTTGGACTTAATGGGACCATCTAGGACAGAGAGCCTAGGAGGTAAGCGTTATATCTTGGCAGTGGTAGATGACTTCTCTAGGTACACATGGATTGAATTGTTGAGAGAAAAATTAGATGCCTTCAGTCTCATTAAATCCCTGTGCAAGAGGCTGAGTAATGAACAAAATCTCACAATCACAAGGGTTCGAAGTGATCAAGAAAAGGAGTTTGAAAACTCTAGTCTTGAAAACTTCTATATGGAGGAAGGAATTCAGCATGAGTTCTCCTCCCCAATCATTCCACAACAAAATGGGGTAGTCGAGAGAAAAAATCGAGTACTTCAAGAAATGACTAGGGCCATGCGTCACAGTAAGGACGTTGCTATGAATTTCCAGGGTGAAGCCATAAACATTGCATATCACATTGTAAACTGAGTATATCTTAGACCTAAAACTGATAAAACTCCATATAAGATTTGGAAGGGTAAAAAGCCTACTGTTAGATACTTTCGTGTGTTCGGCAGTAAGTGTTACATTCTGAGAGAGAACTTGAGAAAGTTTGATTCTAAAAGTGATGAGGGAATTTTTCTAGGATACTCTAAGAACAGTAGAGCCTATCGTGTGTACAATTTGCACACACATGTTGTAATGGAGTCCATAAATGTTGTGATTGATGATGGCTTTAGTGAGGGGGAGAGTTTAGGGCATAGAGATGGGTTACATGAGTTAAGTGTTGATTCAGTAGAGGTGACTGAACCTAAAGAACAATCAGCTTCTGATTCCCTGCACTCTCCTAAAGACTCCTAAAGACTTAGACACTTCCAATAAGGATCAATCACCCAGTGACAAACCTAAACCTCATAGGGAACCGTCTTCAAGAGTTAAGTCTAATCATCATAAGGAAAACATTATCGGGGACTTAGATGAAGGTATGAGGCTATGCAAGAGGATCTTAAACTATGTGACTTACACTAGTTATGTATCCCAGATTGAGCCTAAGAAAGTGAAGGAAGCCCTTGGAAATGAATGTTGGATCAATGTGATGCATGAGGAACTGAACCAATTTGTGAGAAATGATGTATGGTATTTAGTTCCTACGCTTGAAAATTGTAATGTGATTGGTACCAAGTGGATATTTAAGAATAAAATCGATGACCAAGGTACCTTAACTAGGAATAAGGCTAGGTTAGTTGCCCAAGGATATTCTCAAGTTGAAGGTGTTGACTTTGATGAGACATTTGACCCTGTTGCACGTCTTGAATACATTCGTATTCTTCTTGCTGTTGCTTGCACCCTAGGTTTCAAACTCTATCAAATGGTAGTCAAGAGTGCCTTCTTAAATGGAATACTTCAGGAAGAGGCCTATGTTGAACAACCAAAAGGATTCATTGACACTAAATTTCCTCATTATGTCTACAAGCTTAAAAAGGCTCTATATGGTCTGAAACAAGCTCCTAGAGCTTGGTATGATAGACTCATTGCATACCTCGTGGATTATGGTTTCTCCAAAGGTGGTGCCGATAGAACGTTGTTTATAAGGCATATCAAAGAATCTATCACTATTGCATAGATTTATGTCGATGAAATCATCTTTGGCTTTCCAGTTGACTCTCTTGCTCATGACTTTGTTGAATGCATGTAACAAGAATTTGAGATGAGCATGGTTGAAGAGCTAAGTTACTTTCTTGGTCTCCAGGTAAAGCAATCTGATGATGGGTTGTTCATATCTCAATCAAAGTACGCTAAAGATCTTGTTAAGAGGTTTGGGTTAGATGGTAAGAAGCACACTATAACACCTATGAGCAAGAGTGTTAAGTTAGGTCATGACCCTACAGGTAAGAGTATTGATCAAACACTATACATGAGTATGATAGGTAGTTTACTTTATCTTACTGCTAGTAGACCTGACATAGCATCCAATTTTGGAGTTTGTGCGAGGTATCAGGCTAACCCTAAGGAATCCCACCTGAGTGCAGTTAGGCGCATCATTAGATATGTGAATGGCTCCGTAGATCATGGGATTTTGTACTCAAGGGACTCTAATTTTGATCTTCCCGGCTACTCCGATGCTGATTGGGCTGGAGATGCTGATGATAGAAAGAGTACTTCAGGAGGTTGTTTCTATATAGGTAGTAATCTTGTAGCTTAGATGAGTAAAAAACAAAATTCTATCTCCTTTTCCACAGCCGAGGTCGAATATATAGCTGCTGGTAGTTGTTGCACTCAATTGCTTTGGATAAAGCAAATGCTGAGTGATTATGGAGTTCATTAGGGTACTACGACTGTGTTCTGTGACAACACGAGTGCTATCAATATATCTAAAAATCCTGTTCAACACTCTCGAACAAAACATATTAACATTCGACATCATTTCATTCGAGAAATTGTAGAGACTGTTATTGTGTCCTTTGAACACATCTCTATTGAAAACCAGCTAGCCGACCTGTTTACTAAACCTTTAGATGGCTTGCGATTTGAGTCACTATGAAAAGTTGTTGGTGTCTGTGTCCTTCCTTGATCACATAGTTAGGAGCATACATGTACAATTCATATCATTCATTCACTCTTGCATTCATCTCATTTCTTTATATATACACGTTTTTTTTTTGTTTTGTCTTTGTGTGTTTCCATTTTTTTTCATTATTCAACACAACTTACAAAATGGAAACTATAGCATCGAATGGTTTGTTGAACTTGCAATTTGTGAACAAGTATGCGTACAACGGATGAATGGGTCCGTAGTTTCCATCACTTGGTTTGGGGTTATGTGGAGTACTTGGCATATGTGAGTCTTGGGATGGCATTCATCTGTGGATAATGTGACCTTGCCCATGAATTGATCTTTGACTAGTATGACCTCAATCTTAGTGTTTTCTCCTAGTAATTGTTAACATATGTTCCCTGTTACATTTTATTTTATACCTATTTTCGGAGCCTAGTTGACTCGGGCAATTAAGCCTGAAGGGTTCTTCGTAACCTAGTGCCCTATGGTCAACTGACTTGGGAGTCACCGACCCAAAGCTCTTTACAAGGGTCATCTTAGTCGCTTAATGGAGATAGAATTGCACATAAGATACAAAAGATATTGGTTTTAAAAAAAATAAAAAAATAAAATCGGTGCATACAGTTAGGGGAAGAAAGCGACTTTACACTAAATATGTCAATTTTTAAAGGTCCTAGTGGCGCTGGATTTGACTTTCATTGGTATAGGAATATACTTATTCTACTGTACTTTTCGTTTATCCCTTCTCGCATATTTACGGTTGGGGTCGTGCTTACATGGAATTGGTGACACTTTTCACACATAGATTGCGTATAACATTGCTCCATATAATCTTGGATTAGGCATGTGGGAAAATGTGTCTATTCATTGCGTGTGTCATATTTGTGATCAAGTGCAATTTTAGGTTGAATTGCATGTTGGAGTGCACATCATGTTATTTAAAAAAAAAAGGTGCCAAAATTCGAAGTTTTCTAATTGGGTGCTAGATATTCAAAGTTTTTAAAATTGGTGCTATTCTTGTCCATGAGTTTTCCTCCACTTGACGCTTAACTTTCGCTCGAACGTTAAAAGTAGAATCCCTGTCGCTCGCTTAACTCTCGATTCTCGCTCGAGCGACAGTCCGGTTTAAGTTCTCATACGCTTCTTTCCAACCTCATTTTTTTCCACCACTTCTCTTTTCCTTTCTCTCAAATTCTTTCACCCGTAACGCCGTCCCTATTCAATCACCATTGGGAGCTCCAATCATCACTCTACTACCAGTTCCTTTTTTCGCGAATTTGTGTAAGTTGTTTTCGAGCCCTACTTGTTTCGATTTTTGGGTTTTTTGTGAACTATTGATTACCCAATCTATTCGTCTATGTTCTTCTCTTTCTTGGATGTCCGTGACATGGTTAGTTTGCCCATTGTGCCATTTCACATCTTGTTTGCTTGTTTTGGGCCTTCCCTCGTTGTGAAGGTGTATAGGCATCTTGTATGCGTTTCTATTGGTTGTTGTGGTGTTTTCGAAGGAGGTTGTGTAGGATATGGATGCTGGATTCTTGCATTGTACTTTGTTATTGTTGGAGTGGAGCTGGATTGATTGATTTTTGTTTCGAATGTCTTGAATTTCCCACGCACACCACGCGTTTGATGAAGTGTCTCACTCACGCGTTTGGTCATTTTTGGATGTGCATCTGCACACACGTGTCCAGTACTGTCCCTTGACAATGTTTCCATCTTCTTGGTATGTTTCGATCTTGGACAGCGTTGAATTCGAATACGATCTTTTTCCAATCACATTGCATCTTTGCGTTAGGACATTGCATCATTCGTCTTGACACCGCGTCACCCTCTGTCTTGTAGTCATGTCCTCTTG